AGCTCTAAAGTCTTCTAAGTACAAAAAATGTAAGGTTTGAGTGTAGTAACCACCAAGCTCTGATCTAAGTGACATATGAAATTTATGGACTAAGCTGAATAGGTGTGTGTGTGCAAAGCAGGCTAGCTTGCCTCAATAAACCTTAATTCTAGCAAATAACTGTGAGAAGCTGGTGGAGTGACTGTTACAAGACAGCCCTAGATAGTTGTGTTTAAAGTCTGATGAAAGTAATGAATGGGACAGAATGTTATTTTGTCAGCCAAGTCCAAAACTGAACCTTTTTGACCACAAATAATATTTGTAGCTGAAAATGAACACTCCCTTTTACCAGAAACAAGCAATCACTAGATTAAAGCATGGTGTTGGCAGGATCCTGATGTGGGGATTTTTTTTTTTTATATTGTCAAACAGGATTTTTAATACAGGCTAGGTCAAAAGGAAAAAAAAAAGTCAGAGGCTGCAGAATGGTTAAGTCCGTTCAATAAAACACTTTATAGCTGGATTAAGGCAGTTTAGTCGGCTCCATGTGTTTTTTAGAAGAACTGATGCAGCCAGGTGTGCAGAAGTTCTCAACTCTGTTGCAGTCAGTCACAGCCACTGCCTTCTATAGGGGAAAGTCAGATGTTGTGATGATGCATGTGTGGGACCCGAGTGGTAGATCTATTCAAAAACAATCTGCAGTGCCTGTTGGCAGGGTTTGAAAAGAACGAGCCGCTAAAAGATAGCAATTTATATAAAAAATTAATTCACTAAAAAGAGAAAATGCAGGGCAGTAAGGAGTGGCAGGGTCAATGGATAAGTCTGTTTAAGGAAACAGACTTATCCGGACTTATCCGGTCCCCTCCAGCACACAGTCTTTTCCATTGCACAGCGGCGATCCGGCCACTTGCACACCCGTCTGTTCCTCAACGGCGACCAGTAGGAGGAATCTCCGTGGCAACTAGTCTTTCAGTCCCACTCTGCCACTCCTACACCTGTGATCCAGCTTCAATCTCCTTCAACTGCACAGCTACTTTTATTACCGGCTTCCTGGTCTGCATGCTGCTTAGCTGATGGAGAACACCTGTGCCGCTGAAATGGGCCGCTCCGGATGTGAGTGGTAACTTCACCTCAAAACCAAAACAAAATCAGAAAAACACAGCAACCCAAGGTTAATCTAACAAGAACAGTAAACAACTTCAAAATGTAACAAGCAAACCCAAATCCTAAAAATAAGGGACATGAAATTAACTCCAAAAGGAAAAAAACATGCCACGTTACCACACATGAATTGTATGGCCTTCCAGCAGCAGGATTTACAAACTTAAACAAGATTGTGTTTTCAGCACAAGGGTTTTCTAACCACCAAGCAAGATAAAAGGAAAATGGCTATAGCTGTAGTTTCCCTTGGTAATGATTAGCATTCATATAATGTTGGGTTTTTAAAGGACACATGCAGGGACATTTAAAACATTTACCAGAGGCCTTGTGCATTGAACTTGTCATCTTTCCTCAATCACAGTCTCCAGATGAACAGGATGAAACCAAACTCAGGGTTAAGAGTAATTGTTAGATGTCAGATATTGTTATTATATGATCAGAGGAGCTTAGAAATGCATCAAAGCTGAAGGAAGCGGTGTCAATCTTAAGCATCACAATCAACGGCACATCAGAATAACTGTGATAGTGCGGGGCCCTGTCACTATATTTCCGACTGATTATGCATCTTGGCTACATGGCCAAAAGGATATTCTTTTGGCTGATTAGTCAGCACACATGACTTTCATCTGACAGTCTGAAGATCGAGAGATAAACCTGGCAGCAAATCTCTCTCATATTTTCTTTACAGACACATTCAGTACAACCAATGTTTACAGTTAGCTTTAGTAATGTGCCACAGGTCATACTCGATCAGCAATGGGTTAGAGCTGTTGATTTAGAAATGTTAAGTAGTTCTGAACAAATGTGCAAAGAGGCAGAGCACTGGTTGCTACTTATTAAGTTTTATCCTTCAGTGCCTGAGAGCAACCCCTATTTGAAAATGAAAGCAGTAGACCAGGCCGCCCCTCTGAGGATTAGGATGGGGAATCCTTTTTCCTTCAGTGTGTCTAAAATCCTCAATGGTAGCAGTCCTAATAAACACTCTGACTAGATTACCCAGGCATGTAGTAACAGAGGAACATCTGCACCGTATAATCTGGATTAACTGCAGTATGTAAGATGCTCACTGAAGCCTCTGTCACTGGATTATATGACCTGTAAGATATAGAAACTGGCCAAACCACCTGAGATGTTGGATCTCCATGTCAGGTTAGATTTAAGGCAAAAAAAAAGAAATATGATTTCTATTCTACTGGCATACAAACTAATTCGATTTTTAATTTATGAAAAAGGTGAACACACATTCTAAACACTATAAATGTTTGTAGTGTAATACATCTTATATATATATATATATATATATATATATGTATATATATATATATATATATATATATATATATATATATATATATATATATATATATATATATATATATATATATATACGGTATATATATATATTTTTTTTTATAATATATTTCGTATTTTAGTAGAGTACAGATTTGAACTAAATTGGCAGATTTTATATTTGGCTTATTTTACAGTGCTGCACATTGATTTAAATTTGATTGGTGTTAAAAGTGCTATAATGACCAGACAGACTGAGGACCAGAAAATTCAAACAGAAACAAACAATTAAACATTTCTAAAAACATTAATCCTCCAGATAACGCCTCAGTGACAAGAATAGGAACAAAGTGTAGGGAGAGATAGGTAAGTGGCAGGGATGAGTTTAACGATTTCAAGAAAACTCAGCAGAGAGAAACTATCCCTGTCAGGGTTCTGGTGGAGGCATGCATCCTTTGCTTTGTTTCCTTAGCGAGAGCAGACGGTAGGGTGATAACCTCAATGCAGGTGAAGAGGAGGCGAAACAGACTGGAACTTTTTGCAGCAACAGCAACTGACAGACCTTTGGAGGTGGTTATTCGAAGCTCTTTTCCACTACAGGGTTTGTAAAAAGCTTTTTATAGTCCAATGGCAAAGGAGAAGTAAGCTTGTTCATTTGGCTAGACAGTAATTCCATTTGCATCCACAATTCACTTGCACCCTTTTCATATGTATATTTCCAGTGCAGCAACATAACCATATTTGCCACCCACTAGCAATGAACAGAATTGGGTAGATCCAGTCCCCCTGCTGTCTTGGGCACCTCTAAATATTCTCTCTTCATTATGGGGTTTAACGTTGTTCTATATGAATTTTGACATGTTATCTATCCAAGTTCCTATAGACTGATTTTGTTACAATATTCGGAATCCTTTGAAAAATGTTTTAAAACCTGGTTAGTACAGACGTTCTGATCAAATTTATGCGATCTGCCAAAGAAATAGTCTGTGTTTCCCATCTTTTAAAATCCTGTGTATTTACTTTACAACCATAGTCCGAGGAACATTTATCTTGAAATACTTGAATACAATTAATCCCAATTAAAGAGAAAAATGAAGTAATTCTCATCTAAATTGCAAACTGGAAAGAGACTTTTAGAAGAGTTTTGTACTCCAATTAGCCGTCTGTGCAGAGTACATTTTCTATCAGTTGAGTTTCAAAACAAGTCAGGTGAATGAAGTGATTAGAATAAACTGATTAGACACATTGTGGAAAAGTGCATTTGATATTAAAAGTTGAAGATTTTGCTACAGACATTATAGTTGTGTTTAGCTGTTTATATAAAGTAAGCATAATGATCAGCAGAAAGTGGCTTACCTTTGCTTTACATATCAATATCTTATTGTTTTTCAGATGCCATATTTTTGAGTCAATAACCCATCCAGCTGTGAAATACGGTTGGCACCTATGCTTTTAAAATCTTTCAGACGGTGTATGAAGACAGGTTGTGTATCAGTTGTGAAAGGAAAAATCCAATAACACAGATTTTCTCTGTGTATTGTTTAAGCTCACTGGGATTTAAATGAAAATGATCCATTCTGGTCAGAGGGAGAAGAGCCACAGAGCTAACCTAAGTGTTCAGTACTCAATATGGCAGTCATAAGGCAGAATAGTCATGACTATACACATTTGCAGGAAACTTAATCCAAAAAAAAAAGATAAAAAAAAACAGCTTTAGTGTATATAAAAATTATTTGTAAACAAGCAGCATCTTTCTCCTCATCAATAGAGAACAACAAGAATAATCCTAGATTTATTTTAAATACAGTTGCCAAACTCTCACTCAGCCAAAGTTTTGTTGAACTACTGATTCCCCTTGGTTTTAGCAGTGATGACTTTATAGGATTCTTTCTAAATAAGATGGAATCTATTAAAAATAACATAATCTGCACCCGTCTTAATATGATTGGTTCATCTCTGGAAGGTGAAGCAACGTTGAAGGAAAGCTCTACAACCCTAAGGAAGCATTCCTCCTAATTTCCACCTCTATCTATCCCTAATATAGGGATATGTACCTCCAGCTTTTAAGATAGCTGTTATTAAACCTTAAAACAAACCATCTTTTAATCAAAATGACTACATTGATTATATTGCAGATTTATATTTAATCTTTCTTTATTATCTAAGATTCTTAAGAGTTGCTAATCAAGTGTGAGAGTATTTATGCTGTAATCAACATTTTGAAGGGCGTCAGTCAGATCTTAGAGGTCGTTACAGCACTTGAACAGCATTGTTGCATTTTTTTTTAAATGAAACTTTAGGCTCACTCTTAAATCCACCCTTTTAATTATCTATCAATCTGTATCTTAAAGGAAACATAGTTAATTACATATGAACAAATCAAGCTTGGTATATCTGTCCAGTAGTAAATTAGTTTTCTTTACAACTTAGCTGTTTTTTACATCACAGAAAAATGAATATGTGGATTTAAATGTTTGTATCCATCCTTCCATCTATACTATTTGTATATAGCCAGTATTAGTGGCTAAATCCCATAAAACCACAATTTAACACGCATCCATGTGAGCTGTTTTTTTTGCAAGATTTTATTTCCAAAAAGTAGTCAGAGAAAAGTAAAACAAGCCAGTTCGACAAAACAAATTCCTCAAAAGAGAATAACAAAAAATAAAGAAAAAAGAAAAGAAAAGAAGCTGATAACAGCAAAAGAAGGCCTGATGATATATACAACAGCAGACATCATTTTGGTGTCAGAGTACCAATGGATCACTTCACAGACTCATGGCTTTCTTCACATAAGGTCAAAAGAAAAAGAAGAGAAAAAAAAAAGAAAAAGATTGGCTTTTATGGACAGAGAAGGTTCTAAAAATCAGCTAAGGCACAGGGAGCCTCTCTAAATAAAACAGTAGGGGATCATGAATCAGAGAACTTTGTGCAACTGATGCTCAACGTTACATTCCAGCAAGAACAACAACAATCTGGATTCTCTGGGACACCGAAAGGAAACGGTTGCTGTCACAGCAGTCCAAAATACTGAAACAGGTCATGTCTTCTCATTGATAAAACACTAAATTCACTCATTTTGACCTCTTAAAAATGTCAATTTATCACCTCTGTATTTACAAGAATGGTTTCCTTTCTAAACAATATGTCCATACAAAATACCTATGTACAGTACATCTTCATTTGTTAATCCCTTGTTACAAAATATGACTTTCACATTTAGTTACAATTAAATCATTTAAGTCAAACCTTTAATTGAGCTTACACCATAATAAGTACTGCGTAATGTGACTGTTTGGAATAAGGTGGTACTATCAGTGATGTTTAACCTCAGAAATAGAGTAGATTTGAAAGGGAAAGAGGGACAGCAGTTATAATCCTCCCATCTGACAGAGAGGCAAGGTGAACTTGACATTAATGAACAGTAATGTCTCTTCATTAGACTGTGCAAAACCTCTCATTTAGCTGCTGTGATGACTAAACAATGCTGACAATCACAGATTGAAAACCTAATTGGCTTCAGATGACACCGATTTCAAGGTAAAGCAAATATGTGCCCAAACTCCTCGTTCAGGTCTAGTTGCCAACCTGGGTGTGATTAGGTCGATTTAAATGTCCAGAGATTGTCTTGATGAGAGAAAATTTACTTTAAATGTGAACACAGCTGACAAGGTGCCATAGATCAAGTCTAATAAATTATTAGTTGTTTTTGCACTAAAGATACAATATATGAAATTCCACTTTTTTTGTTACAGCATGAAAACTACAACCATTGAATGCCATTCAGAAACAACACCAAAAAGCACAGTTTCTCCTTTGAGCCACATATATTCCAGAGTGTTTTTTGTAGAGACAGTTTCTAGTCACTGTTTACACTAGATGTAGTCCTTTGCAAGATTCATAAACTTTTTCCAAGTCTGTCACATTACAACATTAAATTCTAATGTTTTGTTTGGCATATCATGTACTAGACCAACACAAAGTGGGGGGAAACTGTGCAAATTCAGCTCATTTTGAAAGATCGACAAGAACCCATTTTTAAAAGTTCATTTTAGGTTTTATGCCAATGGTGCAGGCAGGTGAGATGAGACCAAAATAAAACCATATGCAAAATACAACATGGTGACACATGGTGGAGTAGCATCATGCTTAGACAATGCCTTTCTTTGTAACAGAAGAAAAGAAAAGAAGTTCGTTAGACTTGATCAAATTGGTGCTAAATGCAAAGTAATCTAATAAAAAAAGACAACAGGCTGCATGAAAGTTAAAAGCGAGATGTATTTTTTCCTACCAGTAGGACAAGCTCAAGTCTATATCTAATTAGGAATCTGTGGAATAACTTGAAAAATGCTAAGAGATGCTTCATGTCTAATCTGGGTTAGTTTGAGCCATGCTAAAAAAAACAATGACAAAATAGTTCTACCTTAGACGTTAAAAACCGGTGGAGACATATGGAAAGCTGTAACAGCACAAGGTTTTTTAAAAATGTTTCAATCAGGTGGCCTGCATACTAATGCAAGCCAGACTTCTAAAATCCTTGCTTTTAAAAACACAAAGTAAAATTTGAATTGTGCACTCCAGTGTGTTGGTCTATTAGAGATAATAATATCAAGCTTGTGGTTGTAATACAATAAAATGTAAAACGCTCTGGAACCTTTTAGCTCAATGATCAGTATGTCTCTTTTCTCTTGTGATGCACACTGCAAACAACTACTTAAGAAACCCGGGACAAGAAAGTCTTATTCAGACAGGACAGCACAGACTAACGCACAGGTGCGGGCCATAAAAACATACAATATTAAGTTCGGGGTGATGGCCTTTGTAAATAAAGGCGGCTTTCCTTACAAAAAAATACTCCTCATGCTGCCACGGCAGCGTCGCAGTTTTAGTCACTGACTAAAAATATCAGTATTAATATAAACTTAGAAATAAATAGCAATACCTCTCCCACCCTAAGAATTTTTAAGATTTTTTAATAATTATTTACAACATTAAGTGTTGTGAAATGACTGGAACAAACTCAACAAGCACAAAACTTTTAAGGTTAGCTTAAGGTCATTTTGTTTCAAGTTTGAGGTTGTTTGAACTAAGAGAAACAAGAACAAAATATTAATATTTTATTGTTTACTGCCTGTAATAGCATCTGGCTATTTGAAAAAGAGTCTAGTCTATATGGAAAAAGTAAGATAAACTGAAATGTCTACCAGCATTGTTTTTTTAAATCAATGGTTCCCAAAAATTACCTTTTTCCTAAACAGGCTTTAATCTTAATATAAAAAAACAGATATAACTCCTCTAAAACCTAATCAGGCACTCAAATGCAGGAATAAGTGATTTACAGCACCCCACATATTTATTGGCAACCCTGGTAAATCAGTTATTAAAAAGCATTAACATGTTATTCTTTTCCTGTACTAAAATAATTTAGGGGCAAATAAAATGTACATTTTTTAACAAATCTTAAACAATCAGGTTATAAATACCTATAAAAGCAGTTAAACTTAATTAGATTTTTATTTTATTTTTTTAAGTTGACCAGAGAGGAACAAAAATGGTTCTTAGGTGTATAAATAGGAAGTAAGAAAGAGAAAATTTAAATAAAAGATATGTGTTGATCCATGGTTCATGTTCCATTTCTACTATGATTGCTAGAATAAACATTTAAATATAATCAACCTACAAAAGACATTCTTAAATGTTTTAAATATACTATTTAGTGCAGAATTAATCCTAATTCAGCCATTTTCATTGTCCCAAGTTGGCGTACAACTTCGCATATCAGTGCTGCAGAAACGCAGTCCACTACAGTACATGCAGAGGCTCACCTCAATGATCAAGGTTCAAACTGTTTAATGGTCCTGCTGCAAGATTTAACCTTTCCAATCTCAGCATGTCACTGAAAATTCTACATCTGCAACAGTGACATAGTAAACAGCATTATATAAAATCAACTGTTTAGATCTTATACTTCGTACACTATGCTGTGCTATGAAAATAATATCCCAGAACTCTTAAGGTGTTTGCAAAACTACAACTTGCCTTCCTCTTTTTATGCATTTGCAGCCAAAAAATGCCCACTTGTACAAATTGTTTTATTTTGTTGTTGGCTATGCTGATTATGTTACGAGTAATGATAAGCTAAAGTCAGAGACCTTGTTTGTGAACCCAAACATAGTGAATAGTGCTGACTCATTCTGATATTAGCCACCAACTGACAGCCACTTTAGTCTGACCCTCCCCTACCGAGGCGTGAAATTATGCAGCGAAATCAAGCTGCAGGCTGTCGTATTTGGGTAAGAAACAGTTAAAGAACAAAAAGACCATAAACCTGCACTGAATATTGTTTACATTGTAAATGAAGAATGCTTACAAAAACATTGAATCAATACCCCTCTTATCTTGTCCCCTTTGCTATTCAAAAAATACACTTAATAAAGTATTATTACTATTTAATATCATTAATATTTGTGGTTTGTGCTATAAGTAACCATTGGACATTTTTTTTTAGTGATGGGTAATATTTTTCTCTTTTATTAGAGAGAAATATTTTCATTGAACTAAAAATTGGGCTTGAATATTGCTATTGAGAAACCTTTACCATTATAATGACCCAAATATCTACAGCTAAAGCATCATCAAAAAAGCTTAAAAGAGTTTGAACTGCAACATAAAGATAGGCTGCAAGAAATCCAGAGTTTATCTTGCTAACATCCACAGTGAAAAGTTTGGTTAGAAATAAACAAAAATCTCCAAAACATTAGCTAAGTTTTATTTTTACTGTGAGATGTAATTATATTAAGGCATCACACATTACACACATTCTTACCATGGGTGCCTGTAGATATGAAGGGTGATGAAATTACAAAGACAGAATTTGTTGCCTAATTTTATTAATTAAGTAATTGATTTTGAGGTGTTACAAAATCTCTTTTAAATATATTTAGGGGGATGTTATGACTTTTTATATTGTTTATAAGGTTTTAGGAGCTGGGTTAATCTCAGTGCTTAGCTACCTACCGGTGAATGTTCTCCAACTAAGGCCTTGTTGCAGCAGCGTCGACAATCCAGACTCACTTGGCCAAACTGCCCTAAGGCAGGGCGTCGCAGTTTAAAAGGCTGCACATTAAAAAGCTCCAAAGTTGCAACATTTGATCACAGTAAACCTCAGCCATGAAAGGAAAAATAAATACACTGAGAAAGTGAAACAGCAAAGCCAGCAAAACCCCAAGAGGAATAAACTCTATTGGAGGTTTAGAGAAATGCTTCCCCTTGCATTTGAGAAAGCCTTCCCACAGCACGCAAAAGGAGTCCACCTTTTTTCATTTGCTTCCTGTCACTGGGGCAGAAGATTGGCTTTCTCCTCTCCCTCTCTTGGGATAAGCGCCTCAAATAAATAAAAGTAAACTGTGTCATGGCCTCCTGTCCAGCTGGAGGCCTTGTTGCTACCTTATCCGGCCGTCGCTGCGCGGAGTTCCCAAGTGGGATTTGGGATCTGGGCTCATGGAGCTCCAAGGGCTTTTAGCGCAGGGCTGCATGACGGGGCAGGCAGTGAGGCCAACAGCACAGATGTCAGCAGCCTCCCATAGCTCTCCAACAAGGCCATCCACCCAGCCTTCAAGCTCCTGGCCAGTAAGGGCTGCGTTCCTCTTGGCTTGCTCCACATACGCCAGGCTGACAGGGATGTTGAGCACCGGGTTCAGGCCGTGGAAGCTCTGCTCCATGTAGCTGTTCTTCGTTGGCCCATTGTGGAGCCTTAGTGTGTCCTCTGAAGAGCAAAGAGTAAAAAGACACATAGTCAAGGATAAGTAGTGCAAATGCAGATTCTTTTAACAGTGTTCTGATTCCCCTAAAACACATAAGCAGAAACACATATGTAAGATTCAGGGCTGGGGATTTAATTCTAATTAAGTGATTCAAGAAAAAATACATGTTAAGAAATGACAGATCCAGTGACATTGTGAAATTTAAACCCTTATGCCATCCAAATGAGCGTTTTAATGAGTAAATATAAGATGACCGATTGGCAGTGAATGCAGAGCAGAATGATCTACGAGTTACTCTGAGCTGCTCCTCCCTCGTGGGTTTGATCGATGTTGCGGAGACAGTGAGGAGAGCAGCTTTGTTTAACAGAGGATAACATTAGTGAAATCTAAATATTTTAGGCAGAAACTTTAAAGTATATTTATCAACTTTAGAGCTAAAACATTCAAAACCTCAAGCCAGCAAGTTTATGATGAAATCAGACATCCTAACAAGGTGATGTTGTGTGAACTCTAATAAAAATTGGAAATTGGATAGTCTTTATTGAAATACCTTCAAGATAATGAAACCCTTTCTAAATCTTTAAATGTCTTATACAGTAGATCTTACTCAGCAGTTTATCATAGGTATTTTAGGGTAACTAAATATAAGATCTTGCTTTAGATTGTATGAAATCTGCTGTCCTCTCAGTGCACAAAGTATTTGGATCAAGTTGTTCCAATTTAATTTAATAAGTTTGTAAGTCAAAACCTAAATAAATTAATTTGGGAAAACTTAATTCAAATACTTGTTACCAGTTGAAGCTATTCATTTAAGTTCGAGCTGCATTTTCTTTTTAGTGTGTTTACCTAAAAGTGTATTGTTCTATTTGCTTAAAAAAGTATTTAATCAAAGCAGCTACAGTGGAGTAGTCCATTAGTTAAAACACATTTGCAACACTGGGTATTCATAAAGAAGTGGTGAAATTCTCTGAAAAGACCAAAAACATCTAATTATTAATAAGGTTTAAAACGAGATTACTTGAGAGTTGGGTGGTTTGATCAGAATGTATCATTAAATACAATAAAAGGGGTTATGTTATTTATAAAGTATTAAATATTGTCATGATGATCTTTAATAATAGAATTTGAAAATCAATTTAAAAGTATTTTAACACTAAGTATGTAGAGTGCAAAGTGTGCTTGAATGCATCCTTAAGTTATTATTCATTCACAATGTAGCACAGTTCAGAGGCGTACTTGTCTTACAATGGGCCAGAACTGACGAGACAAAACAGCTTGGTGGTGGACTGCTGATGTGGTGCCAGTGCAGACATTATGTCACTATATTAGCTGAGTAATGATTTTTGGGTTGGGAAAATCTGATAAAGAAGAACAATTTTTGGTCCTTTCTTAAAGCCCAGTTTCAGTGCAAAAAAACAATTGCTGCTCTGCTACTGAGCAATCAGGGTCCGATTTTAAAAAAAATAACATGTTATAACCAAAATTTATAAAACCAGAGTACTAAATGTACTGAAAAAAAATAATGCAACCGTTTTTGGCATCTACTTATTTATATTTGTTTTATGTCCCACCCTGCTAATATAAAAAATATATGTTTAACTAAATTTCATTACGTAAATGCCAAACATGGTTGCATTTTTTTCCCAGTACAAGTATCAGAAAAGAAACTAAACTACAAAATGCACTGATGAATTGACAAAATGACGATGTAGTGGGGAAAATGAAGTGTGGTGAGGAGGTGCAGGCTTTAAGTACAAACTGGTTTCCAATTTACTTGGGCTCAAATTTGGCATTCAATCTTTCAAATATTTCTCTGATGTGGTGTTTCACATTGTTGCAATGCCAAATTTGTGTATACAGAAAGATCCAAGACATGCCCTCATTCCTGTTTCCCGTGACGGTAAAACCCTGGAAGGAAGGCTATAAAATCCCAAACACAGCTTCTCTTTTAATGCACCCACTCCACCCTGAGCCCCAGTGAAGCTTTAAATTCCTCACTGGTCTCCTAACTGGGAGGCCTGCCATCCCTTATGAGCACGGCTGTGGAGGAAAAAAAACCCAAAACCCTTTGCACCCAGATGTTTGCAGACATCAGCGTTCTTCTCACTCTTGTGACAGAATGTTGCAGTCAAACCCGACGTGCAGTCAGCACATTGGACGGCTCGCTTTGTGGTACTGCTGTGTGGTACAAAGCCATGCACCTTTAAAGGGGTGTTCGGCTTCATTGCAAAAAATGCGTGTGTGGGTGTGTGTGTGTACTGTTGCCACATCATAAAGTTTAACCGGCAATGCATGTAGGAGGGGAAACATGGTTCCAGACATAACAGTAAATTATAAGCAGGAAGACTAAAAGATAAAACCAGAGCCTACAAAACACACAGGTATACAAACTATGATGTAGTTTTCACCAAAAATATACAAACACACAGCAGTACATTATTCTTTCAGAAACAAACATATATGAATCCTTCATCTACTGCTTTAAATAATAATATTCGATGCTCTAAGAAAGACAGTGGAGTTTTAATAACGACCAACTAAAGTAATTTAGTTTTTTTTTATCTTATATGAACTTTTATTATACGGGGTCCCCTCTAAAAACAGACAGTTACATGTCCTCTAAGAAACCTTTTTGATTTCACATCTTCAAAACTTCAATTTATTTATATATTTTCCACAATCTTCTTAAAACTGTGCTGAAAGAAATGTGTCCTGCATTCATTTTATCTTTTTATTTTTATAAGAACCATGTTAGATGTGGGTTTCCAGGGTTATGATGATCTTTTCAGGGCAGATTTTTAATGAAATATTTCTGCTAATAAAGCATTTATATCTGTCTACTATTTAAACTTCACAAGTGACAAAATAAATCTCAAGCTATCATGTTGTTAATTAAAGGAGAAGTTCGGTTTTTTACACTTTAAGCCCATTTTCTGTAGTGTCCAGGATGAAATCGAATGATCAACACCAAAAGTTTGACAATTGGTCCTGTCTCTGCTTTTTGGCTCATTTAGAATCCCCCCCTGGCTGCTTTAAAATGGCTTGCATAGAGCATGTCCGATAATGTCCTTAAAACAACCTTAAACGTTCTTTTTTTTAAATATGCTACTCACCGGGTCATCAGCGCTGTTCAATGACGTTCCAAAAAACGTTTCGTGAAGAAAAAACGTTCCTGTAGTGTTTTTTTAGCATTTTGTAAATCCCATTGAGTTCTGTAGGGATAGTCAATATTCCGCTGCCACCGGAAACGGAAATGGGGCCTGTTTACACAGTTGTAGTCTTTTCGCTTCACTCTGTGTACTCCGACGTCGAGGTGCTAACGTCTCTGTTAAACACTTTAAAAAACTCTGAAAATGGAATACGAAAGGTGGATTCTTGATTCTCGACGTCGGAGTACACAGAGTGAAGCGAAAAGACTACAACTGTGTAAACAGGCCCCATTTCCGTTTCCGGTGGCAGCGGAATATTGACTATTCCTACAGAACTCAATGGGATTTACAAAATGCTAAAAAAACACTACAGGAACGTTTTTTCTTCACGAAACGTTTTTTGGAACGTCATTGAACAGCGCTGACGACCCGGTGAGTAGCATATTTAAAAAAAAGAACGTTTAAGGTTGTTTTAAGGACATTATCGGACATGCTCTATGCAAGCCATTCTAAAGCAGCCAGGGGGGGATTCTAAATGAGCCAAAAAGCAGAGACAGGAGCAATTGTCAAACTTTTGGTGTCGATCATTCGATTTCATCCTGGACACTACAGAAAATGGGCTTAAAGTGTAAAAAACCGAACTTCTCCTTTAAAGGATGCAATTAAATCATAAGCATGTGAAAAAATGTCTTATAAAAACGAAAGAAACTTCAATTTTCATCTTTTAAATAACAGAATCACTCCAGGAACTACAGTGATGATTGATTTTTCTTAACTCCATACTTTTCCAGACTTTATGAGAGTTTAAAGTATTTCTATGAAACTGACACTATATAAGAAGCTTGAACTAAATAGAAAAGCAGGCACAAAGGACTAACTGTCCATGGCCATTAAAATATAAAGTTAAAACACCAATAGTTGATTTAAAAATAACAAAAATCAGTTGGGGCACTGTGGTGGTGAAGGGGTAAAGTCTTCAACCACTGAGTAGAGGCCTTAGATCGGGATTCTAACTCCATGGCTTTGAGTCACGGCTCGTTGACCTTTGCCACATGTCTTTCCACCCTCTCTCTCAAGCCTTTTTGCTGTTAATTGACTTTCAAATAAAGGCCACTAGACAAAAAAACAATTCAAAAAAGGGGAAAAATCAATTCAGTCTGTTTTTAACAACAATGTACCTGTACATCACATCTGTATTTCTTTCCATTTTATTAATTGGAACATGAAACACATTCACCACAGACATACGCTAGAACTGCTGATCATGCAGAGGGTCAGAAGTTGCATCTATTTAGTCTGACTCTGACGTGTGAAATTAAGTTAGAAACGATGGCCCTTTGCTATAAAAGAATATATTATTGAGAGACATTGGTGGCTTCTAATAAAATAAACCCATATTTTCCTCCTTTTTCCTTCCCTCGTTAATAAACATTATCTACATGACAGTACAGCTCTACATCTATCATAGATGGGCATCAAGGGGCAGTGTGAGTCCATCCAAGTATGTGAGCAATATAAATGCTTGACACTGGAAATATCGGTGTCCTTGTAAGCTGTGCTTTACAAAAGGCATGTTCAAAAGACATTATGATGATGAAGCCTGAGATGACATTTTGTGCAGCTCTGTTAGAAACATTAAGAGAAGGAGCAACTTTGTCTCCTCCTCTCTATACCATTAAAAGGGCTCCTCTATGACTGCTTACCAAAGACTAGAAAAACTTGAGCTTCCCTCTGTCTCAGCACCTGGCCTACATTATCTGCAATTTAAAGGTGTGTGCTTCTGCAAAGCAAGCAGCGCAAACCCGTTGGTGACTACTGTGGATACTGATCTTTTTTTGCTCGAAGCTACAGAATATTTTTGCTTTGTTTAGTTAAGGTGTTAGGTTGAAATTATTGTGGGTGAAAGCAGACCTGATATTTTAGGTGTAGGCAGACCAGCAGTTAGACACAATCGAAAGTTCAATTCAAGTTCAAACTGTCTTTTTCCCCCTGCATTTTTTGAACCTGAATACACCTTTTCTGATTAATAACTCCCTAATATCCTCTCAATTTTTTCCTATTTTCTTTTTTTGCTCATCTTAATGTTTAAATCGTTGCTCTTTTCATAAAACTTGCTCTCTTTATAAGGGATTATATGTCTTATATCTGTGTGTTCTTGCTACTGTCACATCCGACTTTCCCCCCAGTGTGACACTAAAGGCATTTCTTATATTATCTTATTTTGGTGTGAGCATGGCTGCTTAGTTGTGGCTAATGTGCAACTAATTCTGACAGAAAAACAGCCCGCGTGAGACTCACATTTAGGACAGCAGATGTAACATTATTTGTTGTTCATCTGCATCATTAAAAAAGCTGAGATGAAAGATGCGACTACACTAAAGTCAGCAGCTCAGCTCTCATGTGACGTTCAGGGTAAACTGGAGGCTCATGGAATAAAGCACTGCAGTCTTGTTTCTTACCCAGGCTGACTGACTGATTTAATCGTGTCATTGTTTTAAGAGGGGTAAGTGCACTGTTGTTTAACAGTCTGTTTAGAATGTATGAGCTGCTTGCTGGGTTATTAGGGGTGACTTGATGACAAATAACTAGGGTCTGCAGAAACCCAATGCTTGATTAGAAAGGGCATCCCTGCAGATACACGACTTTGTGTGTCTGTGAGTTTGTGTTTTGTTGGAAAGCTCGGGACACCTAAATGAGCAAACATTAATTCATGGTCAATGTAGCATTCGAGCTGCTCGATTCGACACCAGTTACACAATGTGAGTGTCACCGAGAAAGAAATGATAAATACAAAACTATTTGAGTGAGTTCCTCATAGTGGCATGAAGCTCCATTTAAGGATGAGTTAATAAACTGACTCATGGTAAAATAATCAAAGCATTGGATGAGAGCAAATAATGTGAACATATTACTGGTGGAACCCAAAATCACCACACAATTAATGGCAAACATTAATATTTTAAGTAAAGTAAAGTAAGGAAAAGTTACTCTCAGCCCCAGACTAAAGTATGATAAAACTGTATTGGTGATTCACTTTCAGACTTAAAGATGTTTAAAGATGAGATCAATTATAAATATTTGTTCAGAATTGATAAGATAAGAAATCATCACAGCACTTTTCTCCATTAAAGTCTATGATAACACATATTAAAGTTTTTATGGGGCCCGCATCTGAACCATGACAAAAGGTAAGAGGATAATTCCTCCTGGAAGAATTTCCCTATGAAAAAAGAGAAGAGCATAAATCTCACACTAATTGATCTCTAATTTCATACAATCTTTAAATGTTTTCTTACCGCATTAGTTGTTGAGGAGTGCAGACTACCATGAAGTTCATTGCATTCAAAAATAGATTTCTAAGAAACCACCAAAATCAAATTAACCTGGCAAGTCAGACTGATAATGTGCATGGTTATGCATATGTTAGGAGTGTCCACACCTCATCAATCTGCGACTGCTCCTATCAAATCTGTTTGAGGAAAGGATTGACATTAAGTATGTTTAAAGCCAATCACAGCTACAAATAAAATAGCAGCAGATTCCATGAGAGACTCTTGCTATTTCTGTTTCCAAGACGAATTTGTGGATTCAGACAAACAGAAATGGTAGCAGCAGCTATGCCTACCTCTCCTTCGGTGCCATGTTTATTTTGGTTCCTGTCGGCTCGACGGCTCTTGCTTCTGTAACAGCTATATGTCCCATCTTAAACAACAATGTGATAACCGAAGCAAGAGGGGGACTGTCATGACCCAGCATGCAGCGCTAAGCAGATACCTGCCGTCTCTTCTCTCTCCCTTCTCCACAGGTGACTGTGTTTTGCAGGTGGGCGTGGCGACCACCTGTAGTTCATCCGGCAGTGTTGCTCAGAAGCACTTAAGCGGCGGTGACAGCTGGAGGATGCTAGAGTGTTAACCTAGTGGGGTACGCCTCAGTTGGCCACTGTCTTCTGACAGCTCTTGTGTACTTTGTAATTCTTGTTTCCTGTGTTTCTCAGGTTGCCTCACTCCTTGGATCCCTCTTCAAGCATTGCTTCATTCTCTGTTGCCCTTAGACAAGTTTACCTCCGCCTCCTACTGGGATTCCACTCAGACATCTCCTTGGTGTTACCAAACCGGGCTGAGGATCTCTCCATAACTCCACTGGTTCCTCCAGCTGAAAAAAAATAATGCAACCGCTTTTGGCATTTACTTAATCATATTTAGTTACTTTAACACAACTGTTTTATGTCCTTCCCTGCTAACATGGAATAATTGTGTTAAAGTAACTAAATATGATTAAGTAAATGCAAAAAATGGTTGCATTTTTTTCAGTGATCACCTCTCCCACCACCCGTGCTGCTTGGACCCCACTACGCTCCACCAGCTCGCCCATCAGCTGCTCAGTCACCGCTGCCATCCCTGGGAGTCTCGTACTGGGTCCATCTCTCTGCTTGTCTCCCCCCGGTTAGGTCCCCGTGCTCGGCGGTAAGCGTTTTCCCCCTTCTCGCGCTTCTGGTACCCTGTGCTCTGTCTAACCAACTCAATCTCATCCGTAGATCGAACAAGCCCCGTTCACACGTCCTCCAAGGCACTTCTTTACTGTAAAGAACCCCATCAACATCTCCTGTCTGTATTTCTATAAATGCCTTTGACTGTCTTAGCCTCCCGAGTGTGATCTGAATTTGGACCAAATACGTAAAAACCATAACAGAGACAAAATGGATTCTGGTATTTTTTGTGAACGGACAAATATCACAGGTATCCATCATGCAATAAAGTTTAAAATCAAGCTTACATACAGTTTCATAAATCTTATTAAAATAGTGTTTGGAAGAAGCTCGGAAACATTTGAAATTGAAGCCTTAAAACAGGAGAAATAAAAAATGTATCTATGCTCAACTTTAACAGACAGAAGGTTCAAAGTGAGAGACTAAACATAGTTGGCTAATTACCTGGGGATGTCAGAGATGTGGATAAAGGTGACGTACTGACTGTTGATTAGGTAGGTTATGGGCATCAAAGTTTCAAAACTTCAAAATCTTTAGTCACACTAATTCTCTTTATGATGAAGTAGAAAAAAAAGCTAAAATTTTCTCGGGCTGTGAAACAGCCTTTAGAATGTTGTATGGTAAGCTAAAAACAGCAGAAACAGTTTTTGTGTTCAAAATTTTTTTGAAAAGAAACAATTGAGAATACTGAAAAGCATTCTTACTTGACTAAGACCGGACAATCTCCCCATCCCGTTGCTACTCTGCTGGTCAACTGGCTGAAAGAGGGCTACCAAAGTTCTCCCTCACTGAGTAGAAATTAAAATTTAGATTTCTGGATATAATCCAAGTTGCAAAAGACATAGAGTGATATTAAGTTATCCTCCAGCTGAGATAAGCTCAATCCAATTCAGTTAATTTAAATAATACCAATTCACAACATAGGCATTTCATAAAGACAATTCAATCAGATCACACAGACAGATGGAAAGTGGACAATTAGACAAGTGAGAGATGCTTACAACAAAGAAGGTTTGAGTGTTTCTGACCTTGTCTTATAGGCTGGTGCTTGTTATAAGCCAGTGGAATGATAAGGAAACGAATCTCAGCAACAGGACTCCAGTTATGGAGAATCCGGATGTTCCAGACTCCAGGACGCAGCGGCTGGTTGAGTGGTGGATGATAGTGGGTAAACTCTGCACTCGAGTCGATCAGGATGTCGTAGGTGGCTGCGATAACATTAGTTGGGTCGATCCAGACCACAGTAACTGTGATGTTTGGCCCTTTGTTCCACTTCTGCATGCCCACTGTCTCATCCATAGGACCCATAAGGCCACCAATATTTCTGAACATGCGTTCTTTAGCGTCCCACTCTGTGCCGATCTGAGAAAAAGGAAATGAGAGAGGTGTGCATACCCTACATCAGTGTGTTTTTCTGAAGTAGAGTACTACAAAGAAACAATAAAACTAACAAACTTTTAAAGTCTACTTATTTTTAAAAAATGTTTTATTTTCTCCCTTTATTTAACATTTGTTTTACCAGGAAATCCAATGAGATTATGAATCTCTTTTACAAGGATGTCCTGGACAAGATGCAAACAGGGGCATTACCTGTAGATCAACGTTATTGCTTGAAAGTAACAGTAACTAATTATATACACCAAAGAATAAAGTGGTATTAAACAGAATGCCACTACAAAAAATGGCCATGACCACAGTTGTTCTCCTATAAAAGTGCTAAAATTACACACAGGTAAACTAGATGAGAACATAATCATTCTATATTTTGCAGGAGTTGTTCTCTGTTTAACCTCTTGGAAACTAGGCCTGTTTGCCACCTGCATGCCCGAAGTATCTTTAAATACTAAAATGTCATTACAGTACAGGCAACAGGCTCTTGTTGCTGTGATTGTGATAATTTATCTAATCCAAATCAGTCATATAAACAAAGAATTTAAAAGGTTGACGTTTTAAGGAGGGGCTCTCTAAGTCAAACATGGAAAGCCAGAGTGAACTTTACAGGAGTGACCATGAAGTTTTAATATGATCACAGAGAAAATCATAGCATGGGGGTCAAAGTGTCATGGTTTTAAGGGTCTATGCTTCCGTACGACCTGACCAGCTCACTGTTATGGGAGCCACAATGGAGTCTAATGTGCATCACACACTCCTTGAGGAATGTATGAATCCAACTTAAATAAATTTGAACCCTACAACATTACAATTATCAAAAAGTATACATATTGCTCGACCAAGTGCTGACTTGAACCAAATGAGAAGCTGAAGGCAACTAATGAATTTTGGAAGGCAGGATGTAAACAAAATTAATCTTTCAACATCTCACAGCTGAAATTGAGAGTTAGAAATATGTCACTGAAGGTATTATTTGCCAAAGCGGGTATAAAGCCAGCTATTAGTGGCCTTTTATCAACTGAAGAATGTCACCAGGATCAAAGGACCAATGCCTGAGCAGGACCTTGAAACACATGATGTCAGTGAATCCACCACCCAGACCTCTAATTCTGGCCCCAAACTACTTTGCATACCTAGAGCCAGAAGCAAACATGGAGAATCAACATTTAGTTCTGAATCTTTACGAATCTGCAACAAACTCCCAGAAAATATAAAAGTATTCAAACCCCCATTGGCTTTAATTCAAGAATTAAAAAATATATATATTTAAAGTGGCCTTTGACTCTGCTATCTAAGATTTTTAGGTAAAGCTTTAGTACAACATTTCTTTATTTTTAACAAGCATTATCTTTTTTAATATAATTTAATCATTTAAATGACTTACTTAGATTGTCTTGGTGTTAACTTTATGCAATTGCATTGTACTTTTTTTTTCTTCTCATGTACAGCCCTTTGAATTGTCATCCTACTGAAATGTGTCCTATAAATCAACTTTCCACACCTATTATATGCTTAAGCAGTCAACCACTTACAACAACCAGATTGACAAAGAGGAGTACACAGACTCTGTATACTCTTACATCTCCAAGTGCATCAATGATGTCACTCTCAAAGAACATCATCACCCGGGCTAACCGGAAGCAATGGCTGACAGACAATGCCCCCAGGCTACTGAAGGCCAGAGACAAAGCCTTCATAGCTGGGAATTAATCTGTCATCAGGACAGCAAGAGCTAACCTGTCCCATAGCATCAAGAAAGCAAAACAGGACTACACACACAAGATAACAGCCAACTTCAGAAACAGTAAGAATGCGCAGAGCCTTTAGCAAGGCATTGAGGCCATCACAGATTACAAGCCAGCACCACAGAACGGCAAGAGCAACATCCCTCTGCTTGAAGACCAAATCGCTTCAATGCACACTTTGATGCACAGTATAAAACACGCTCACATCTTTTCTAATCTCAACTTTTCTTACTGTCAAGGAGTTACCCACCGGAAAAGACAACCTGCACGATATTGGCTACTTCTCAGAAAATCTCACATCTTGAGTTGTGGTGCGTTGCCAAGGTAACCAGCGTAAATTGTATACCTGTTTCCAGCTAACATTTCAGGTAGGAGAAACTATCCAACTATTTGACAGGAACATTTATGTAGATTTTAGATAACCCTTTTAAAGAGACACTCTACATACATTCATAATCCAGTATTCATCCAAACCTTGTAATATCTAATGATGACTTTGCTCACCAACTTCCAACTCTTGAAGAGAGGCAGTTAGCCTGATGTGAAGTTTCCTGACAACATAAATCTGGTGGGTCTCATCAACAAGGGAGACGAGACCCAATACAGGAGGAAGGTCAACCTCATGACCATTTGGTGTACAGACAACAACCTTCTGCTGAACATCAACAAAACCAAGGACATCATTATCGACTTTTGGAGAGGCAACATCCAACACCTGCCACTATCCACTGATGATGCTTCTGTAGAGGGAGTGAACGGCACCAAATTCCTTGGGGTGTACATCAGTGAGGACCTCTCTTGGAACACCAACACCACAACAGTGACAAAGAAAGCCCAGAGGCTCCCCTACCTACTGCGGAACCTCTGGTATGCATCTCTCTGTCATTTCTTGACCACCTTAATGTCAGAAATGTCCTGTGTACACCATGGAGAGGGAGAAAAAGGCAATTTCGGTTTCTTCATATGCCCAGTACATGTGAACGAATTGACAGCAAAATGAAAATAAACTAAATATGGTGAAATGTCCTAACTCTCTCAGCTGGAGAGCATTTTTAATAATGAATGTATTCATATGTATTAATAAAAAACAACATTTTTTGTTCTTTCCCCCAGACCTGAATAATAAAATGAGAATTTCTACATGTGATCTGCTTAAATAAATAAATACATAAATAATCAAAACATCAACATTTAAGTAAGTGTTCTCACTTTTTTTTAACCTACTGTGCACATTCATTAAATTCTCCCACTGAACTTCATGCAGAACTCATTAATAAACTAAATAAGAAAATGCTACATAAACATTGTTACAGGATCTATTATAGCAGCAGTAAATTAGCATTAGGAGTGCCTCCCCCCCCCCCCCCCCCCCCCCCCCCCCCCCCCACACACACACACACAATTCAAAGAGGGATTTGAGAGTGTCTGCATTTGGATGCAGTGAAGACCTGGACAGGGAAACCAGTGAAAGTAACACATAGTAAAGCCCAAAACATTTCTCCTAAGCTGAATGGTAGGAACAGGCAAGGAACACCTTTATTCACTCAGAGACATGCTTTTTCAAAACAGTGAAGAAGATTACAACCTCAGATCGGTGAATAAAAAGCCAAACTAGTAGAAGACTGTGAGTATATCCAGATGCATCAATTGCAGCTTTTTTTTGACGGCAAAACAAGCGGCTCTCGAGAGAAGAGCTGCATTAAAAAGAGGCTTTCAAATGCTGCTATCAGCCATAGACAAGACTGCCTTCTCTGTGACAATATAAAAATAAAAAAGTGAGGATCCAATTGAACAGACAGTATCAACGAGTAAAATATATCTTGGTTGAATTAGAGACATAAAGTGCAGCTGTGGGAAATGAAACTGGCTGACAGCTTGGATTGCACAAGAAGACTGCCTGAGGAACAATGAGCCTCTTCAAGGTTATTACTTTTATGGAAAGCTTACATTATTAGCCTTATAGCTATGAACATTTCCAGGGCATTAATTGTGGGTTTTAACATTTTGTTTAATAGAAATAAATGCTGTTAAATGGCTAGTTCATTTAGAAGTGGTCGTGTGCTGTTATTAGCAGTAATATCATCCACAGTAACTGACTAATTTTCAACTCTGTAGGCATTTAATACTGAGTCAAAACACTCAAAGATTGAGTGATTTTTTTTCTGTTCAGTGAATGAGACAAACTTAAAAGCATGCTTCAATGGCAAAAATGCTTTGGATGGTATAGAGAAAATTAGGATTGTTTTTAAAGGAAACTCAATTTTGACCATTTGAGATAGGTTGTGGTTCACTCAGGCTTTGACAGTTTAAGTAGACAACAGAAAGGCTAAAAGGGATAGAACAAAATGCAGAGTAATTTATCCTTTTAAGTTTTCAACTACTGTAGATATGGATGTTACAGGTTTTGGAAATGTTGAATACATTTTGGAAAACTCAGAGTCGGGGTAAAGGTCTAATGATCTTGGGTATGTTGATGAAAAATGTTTTCATAATACTAATACAAATGTACACTGACTGCTCTCCTAAAGATGCAGGTTTACATTTCATTTGGTTGGGGAGAGTGGTGGCTTAGTGGTTACAGCATAGGGCTTGGAATCCTGAGGTTCTGAGTTCCAGCCCCACTCCCACAGTATGCCACTATGGGTGTCTGAGCAAGACCTTTAACCCCTGATTGCTCCCCGGGCGCCCCACGGTGGCAGCCAACTGCTACCCAAGGGAACGGGTTAAATGCAGAGGTAAATTTCTCCAATGTGAGAACAGTAAAGTTCAATTATTACAGGTGCTGGTCATAAAATTAGAATATCATGAAAAAGTAGATTGATTTCAGTAATTCCATTTAAAAAGTGAAACTTGTATATTATATTCATACATTACATACAAACTCATATATTTCAGATGTTTATTTTGTTTAATTTTGATGATTACAAATGACAACAAATGAAAATCTCAAATTCATCATATCAGAAAATTAGAATATTACTGAAGACCAATAAAAACAAAGGATTTATAGAAATGTTGGCCAACTGAAAAGTATGAACATGAAAAGTATGAGCATGTACAGCACTCAGTATTTAGTTGGGCCTCCTTTGGCCTGTATTACTGCAGCAATGCGGCGTGGCATGGAGTCGATCAGTCTGTGGCACTGCTCAGGTGTTATGATAGCCCAGGTTGCTCTAATAGTGGCTTTTAGCTCTTCTGAATTGTTGGGTCTGGTGTATTGCATCT